AATCAACCATTAAATTCCATTCGAATGCCCTCGATCCTTAATTTAACTTCCAATAATTCCTCAAATACATAACAATATAAATTTCATAAAAAAATGAGCTTAATTATGAAAAAAATGGATCGAATCGGATGATAAATCAGTGAAAACAGCTTATTGGGTTCGAATTTGGTGAAACAAACCCCAAAAACAGACTCAGAACATCAAAAAACTTCATAATAGGTATACCCGGAAAAAGTCAACGGTCGTTCAATGGCCGGTCAACACTGGTCAAAGTTCTGGTCAACATCGGTCAATGGTCAACGGTCAACGCTGGTCAATGGGTCAACGGTTCGGGCCGGTCAGTCGGGTTGTGTTGAACCGGGTTGGGTTGAACCGATCAAACCGGTTTTCTTTCTTCTTCTTTTTTTGCTGTCAGACGAAGCCCACTCTCAAGGGGTGGCGCGTGGGGCGCGTGAACAGTGTTACGGTTCCAAAAAATTCCATAAAATTTTCTAAAAATTGTTTTAAGGCATTTTGAGACAGTTACTAAGCTCGGTTCACAATTTTGAACGGTGGAGAGCTCGATTTCGAAACGTTTGAAACTTTGACTTTCTCACCCTCCACGCGCCGGCGATGACGGAGACATGGAGGACACCGACGGACTAGGAATGATGCAAGGAACAATATGGTGTGGGAGGTATCGAAAACCGGGTGGTCGAATTGACGTGAATCGACGAAAAACCAACGGAGATTGAGTTAAAACCGACGATACTTCTGATTGAAATTAACAACAAACGACGCTGATTCATGACGATAGGTTTGAGGGATTTTGTTCATCAGTCGACAACGAACACGATGGTGGTTTCGGTTCGTCGAACGGAGGTCGGATGATGAGTAGATCGGAGTTTAAAAGAGGGTTGAGGGGAAGGGAATAATGGAAAATTCTGCATAAACATACGGAGACAAGGTTTATAATTCTCTCCAAAATAAAAATGGTTAAACTATGAGTTTAGTCACTGAATTTTCTGCACTTCCTAAAATGGTCTATCAACTTTGAAATTTTTCAATTTCTCCTTCCAAAATACCAATTAAATCTAATACTTTATAATTTCTTAATTTTAGCCCCTAAATTAGGGTGTGACAACAAATAAGGATCATAAAAGGGCTCAATGGATCACCTTGTCTTAGGCCTCTTGTTGAATGAAAAGAATCACTGAACTTGCCATTTAAGATAACCGAGAAAGATACGGAAGAGATATAGGTCATAATCGAGTCAATCCATCCATCGGAAAAACCCATCTTGCGCATAATGCCATTAATGAAAAACCATTCCACATGGTCATACGCTTTGCTTATGTCAAGTTTAAGGGCTAAGGAACCGTTTCGGCCAGTGCGTCTCCTTGAAAGAATGTAAAATCTCATAAGCAACAATAATATTATCGGTTATGAGCCTCCAAGGAATGAAGGCACTTTGTGCTTCGTCTATACATGAATGCATAATTGTCGAGATAATTTTGTACAGGACGTTACAAAGACTTATTGGCGAAAATGAGTCATTCTTCTTGGATTTTGTACCTTTAGAATAAGAAAGATACGAGTATGGTTGATGTTTACAAGAGGGAATTCACCCTTGAGAGTGGCCGAAGATAATAGATTTTAAGATTTAGAATTTATAATTATTTAAATATATTAACTCATTCAAATTACATAGATATATCCGTAAATTAATTTTTTTTACTGTCAATACATAAAATAACAATCCTATATTTATACATAAATCCAGATTGTATGAATTTTATGTAACTAATAAGGAGAGCGTATGCCAGCCAACCTTCTATATGTGAATATGATACCTTTTGAAGAGCATGTGATTAATTAATTCAAATAATTACTAAATAAACCTTCTCCTAACCAAATTTAAATGTCCAATTATGTATTAGGGAAGTTTCTCATTCTGATATGGAACTTCCATTCTTGGCAATTATTGTAAATATTAGGCAAGTTCAAGGCATTTTTGGCAACCGATTCAAATTTAATTTCATTATGGAGTTAGTTTTTTTATTTATAAAATAAAATCCAATGATTTCTTTCATACGAGAAAAAGCTTATAAAGTAATTGCTAGCTATGCATACAATTAAATTTAGAGAAAATAAACTCAGTGATCGGAAATGCCTTATAATATACAATTTTAACTAATTTTTTTTGGATTTGCCAAAATGACCAACAAAATCGCAACGCGAACTCCAATTTTTCAACTCAGTTTCTAGATTCGCAACGCGATAGTCCAAAATCGCAACGCGATAATGGAAATTCGCAACGCGAAAGTCAAATTTGCAACTTAATTATCTTGGCCACCGAAAGGATGTTCACTTGGTTAAATGTGTTCAAACTTTCAAATGTTAAATGTTTTAACTTAGCATTGGAAACAAGTGTTGATAATACTCAATCCCACATAGTATTGGAAACACTATTGAGAATGAGTATTTAAGGCTTGGATTTCTCACTTCCTTGTTGAGTGAAAGAGAACAAGGGTGACTCTCGCGCACCGCCGTTGCCGCCCGTCCGGTCGTGGTCGTAGTCGTGGTAATACGTGTCTTCGACACGTCCGCGCGGATACTATCTTTTTAGAGAAAATTCTTAAGAAACAAATGCATTGCGATTTTGGACTATCGCGTTGCGAATTTCGACTATCGCGTTGCAAATTTGACTTTCGCGTTGCGAATTTGTTGGTCATTTTGGTAAATCCAAAAAAAGTTGGTTAAATTCGTATATTATAAGGCATTTTTGGTCACTGAGCTTATTTTCTCTTAAATTTATTAACAAATCTATCAATGGATTGGTTCAAGTGGTAAGCAACTTGATATCGCTTAAGTAGATTTCGAGTTCAAGTCTTTGTGTATGCAGAAAACCCCTACTGAGAGATTCACCCATCAAAGTCATATGTGCAACGCGAGTCGATCTGAATTAGTTAACATAAAACCTTGAGAACTGGGAGAGCAACAAAAAAAATAATGAACAAACCTCATTTATCATACATTTACGTGCATTCAAAATTTAATAAACAAATATTTATTTAAATATGTATTTGAAAAATAATCAATTAATATTTTTTTTCTAAAATATATAAAAAATCACAAATAAATACAAACATTTTGTGTACATTTATGTTTAACACTCGACTTAAGATGGCTGACAATTCAATAGGATATATTTTTTTCTTTTAAAACTCAGGTTCAAAACAGGGTGGATCAGATTTTGAGAAAGATGGAGTCGAGATTGGGACATAACTAGATTTATGATAAAAGTCTAATCCGACTCGACCTAAGATAATTAGAATTTTGGTATTATATATATGTTAGGTTTTTAGGGTTTTCTTCATTTTTTTCATCTTTCTTTTTCACACAGCTCCCTCATCTCTTCCTTTGACAAATCATTTGCCTTTTTTTATAAGGATTCTCTCTCTTTGATCATTCGTAGGGTGGCGTCGTCATCATTAAGTTGAGCGGCGCCACCCATTGTTGTTTTTTTCTCTTCTTTTTAGCATGTTTCCTTTTGTTTCATGCAAATAATTTATGGATCTTGTCGAATCTTGATCGATAATGGTGTTGTAAGCCATCATCTTCTCCATGATTGTCTTTGATTGATGATGTGGCCATCGTTCGATGATTTTTTTTAGGTTCCCTCCTATTTATTATGTCTTAGCCTTCTTGTTCCTTGTTGATTTGGGGTCTACTTTGTTTTGGGATGTCATCAATTGTGAGTATTGTCAGACCTTTGATGTCCTTGAATCGAATTTTTGGTTTCGTTTGTTGATGGTTGTTCTTAATGATCGAGATTCTTTATCGATGATGCTTATGTCTGATTCTCATAGTGGATTTGATGCTTTTATAAGAGTTCTATCGCGAAATGACCTCAAAAGATGCGTACATGCAACTCTAGGTACAATTTTCAATCATAGTTATGATTTTATAAGTTACAATCTCTGTCTCTCTCTCTTTTTAATAGTTTGAGGTGTTTACAAATTAGTATCCACATACACTCTTCAGACTTAATTGCTTGAACCTGTGATTTTTAAGAAGAACACTATTCTATTTTACTACTGAAATCACTCAATGAGTTCAATAAGTTATAATTTATAATATACAAAAGACACAATGATAAAAAAACGCCCTAACGTTTGACTAAATAATTATTTTGAGAGCTAAAATACTAAAAAAAGAATAAAAGCTAAATAATTATTTAATCAAATATTAAGACATTTTTTAATATTATTTCTATACAAAATGGTAGATTTATGCCTATATAAATAAATAGAGTAACCTATGGAGTGGTCCAGTAATTAAAAGGAATTTTATTCTCGTTTGATGAACCAAATTCTAACATCATTATATACGTGAATTTAGATGAATTTTTATAAATAAATAAATAAATAAATAAAAAGCACAATTTTTTTCATATATCCATTTAATAATGAGCAGTATTATATTATTATACCTAAAATTCTCAAATCTCAGGTTTTGGATTATTTATTTATTTATTTAATCTTTCAGTTTTAAAAAATCCGCAAAAAAATAAAAATTGAACAGAGAATTCTTCTATCCCACTATTGAATTTGTGTAAATGGGTAATTTTCCTCGCATGTTTAGTATGCTCTGTTTTGCTTTGCATGTAATTCTTTTGGAATCTTTTTCCAGGCATCGATGTAAAACTTGTGAGAAAGAGCTTTTGGGGTTTTAATCTGAACAACAGCAACTGAGAGAAGGTAAATTTTGAAAGTAAATTGTGTAACATTATTTTCCTTTTTTCGCTGAAGAAGGTTCCTTATATTGGATTCAACTAGGACTAGCTGTCTTTCACAATTAATCTCTGTCATGGGGTAAATTTGAATTTCTTAGTAAACATTTCATTATTATTTAATTTTGGAATCTTCTCTGATGTTGTCTTGATGGACAAATATAGATAATTAATTGAAGAGGGAAATAGAGCTGAAGAGTTTGCTGGAGAAAAAAAACTTGCCGAGATGGATGTTGTGGGGGCAAAAAGATTTGCTTTGAAGGCTGAAAATTTGTACCCCAAGTTCGATGGTCTTCCGCAGTTGCTTGCAGCCCTTGACATATATATATATCTGCAGATGAAAAGATCAATGGAGAAGTTGATTGGTACAGGGTGCTTGATGTTCGACCGTATGCCGATGAGGACACAATTCGGAAACATTACAGGAAGCTGGCTCTCATTCGTCATCCGAACAAAAACAAATCCGTAGGTGCAGAGGAGGCTTTCAAAGTTCTATCTGAAGATTGGAATTTGTTGTCTGATAAAACAAGGAGAATTTCTTACAACCAGAAGAGGAACTTAAGGGGCAGTTATATGGTGTTTTTCATGGGAACCCATCAACAGAAGTGACCAGCTCTAATGGTTTCCATGATTTCTTCAATGTTAATACTTAATAATTCTAACACCGGTGATCTAAATGGTGCTACTTATTCCCGATCTGCCCCTTCTCACTCCGCAAGAACTGATACATTTTGGATAACCTGCTATTCCTGCAAGATGAATTTCGTGTACTCCAGATTTTAAGTCAACCTCAATTTTACTTGTGACTGTCAACTGCCAGGCACCCTTTTTTTTCTTCTACTGAGACATCAACCCCATCTTTAAATTGAAGTAGCATGTATACTCTGTTTCCGGGGGTTTCCTGTAGTGACAGAAGTTCCCCCAGGTTCATAATGCAGGATGGGACAGATTTTCTGACTGGGGCTCATCTACCAAATTTTCTCAGACAGGTGCATTTCACGGATCAGCAAGTAACATAAATGTGGCACTGCCAGCTTCTTTCGCCGCTCGAGTTGCTGGTGATACTCATCCAGTCAGTAAAACATTGAAGAGAAGCCGCAAGGAGTCAAAGACAGGTACCAGGACGGGGAAAGCCTGCAAATGAGAGTTCCTTCTCAAAAAACACATGCTTGTTTAGGTACTGGGTTTTCGGGTTCGACTTCCTGCCCAAAAAAATAAACAAAAAAAACTCAGGCCTAAGAAGAGGTGAATTGATGCAACAGAGATAGGAAATCACATGGCAATGGAAAATGAAGGAATTATCCTTTCTTGTCTTCAAAAGAATGGGATGCTGCTGGAATCTCTAGTAATAGCATAAAGGAGCCTCCACAGCTGGGAACTCTCGGATTATTCTGATGAGATGGCTAGGAAATAAATCCGCAAGAAGACAAATTCATGGACCCTAGCTTCTTTATCAAATGCTTCAAATAAACCCAAGGTTTCAGATGAGATGGACAAGAAGAATGAAGGAAATGGAAAAGATGCTTCAAGTAAGAAACCCGATGCAGACAAATCTGCAGAGTTTTTTGATATCAAATCAAGCATTCAACCCAAAATGTCCTGTGTTTCCGATTCTGATGTTGATCCTGCTACAATGGGACCTGAACCTGTGTCCATGAGTGTTCTTGATCCAGATTTTCATGATTTTGACCAGGATCGCACAGAAAAGTCATCTGGTGAGAACCCGGTTTGGGCTGCTTATGATGATGATGATGGAATGCCTCGTTACTATGCTATGATCCATAGGGTGATATCGTTAAAGTCATTTAAAATGTGGATGAATTGGCTTAACTCTAAAAGCAATGCTGGATAGGCAAGTACGGAGTTAATAGGAACTGTTCCTCCGATTGTAATATGATTACGCGGGTCGAAGTCATACACAAATCAGACATGGTTGAAGTGCTTGAAGAGTACAATGAGCTACAAGGTGTTGCTGTTGCTGTTGCTCCGCTTGTTAAAGTGCCTGGTTTCAATCAAGAGAGTGTTTCGCAAGCATTGGGGACCAAGTAAAACCATGGTGATTCAAGAGCTGTGTCGTTTCTCTCACCGGGTCCCTTCTTATTTGCTAACTGGTCAAGAAGGTCACACGTCTTGTAAGGGCTGTTTCAAGCTCGATCCTGCTGCTACTCCTTTAGAACTTCTCCAGGTATTAACTGAAGCTCAGGTGAAAGAAATGGAGTCAGTGGATTCAAAAAGATCCAAAGGAAGAGAGCTGGTGGATGATGACCAAGAAATGAAGCCAAATATTACAGACGAAGGTGTTGGACAAACCATCATGAAAGAAGAGATCAAGAAAGAAAAGGAAAACCAGAAACCCGGGCTGCTTGTGTATGTTAGACGACTACTGAACAAATCGAATAGCTAGGGAAACGGTTTTGGTGCATAGGGTTTTACAGGTGTTTCATTTTTCACAGTGGTAGGAAAGAATATGGAGCAAAAACAGTACAAGTACAAGAACATAGAATAATCATAGGTTTTTTCTCTTCTCTTCGGCGATGGAATGTGGCCTGTAGAAGTCAGCAAAAGCTGCAAATCGACGGGATCGATAAAACTCACTTCACAGCAACAGGTTCTTCTTCATAAATGAGTTTGGGTTTCATCCTATAGAAATTTTCGTTAAAACAGGTGTTTAACATTTTTGATGTTATGTTTTAGTATAGTAATACAGTAGAAACTCTTTAAATAAATAAACTCTCTAAAATAATAAATTTGTCCGATCCCGATTTGGGCCAATGTAAAAAATTGAAAAACTTGATAAAATAATAAGATAATAATTTTTCGTGAGATCCCTTTATAATTTTCGATCCCAAGAAAATCATAAATTAATAATTCATAGAAACTGAAAAAAATATTACACTCTATTGAAATATGATTCAATAGTTGTCTGTTTTCCTTTAACTATTCTTATTTCCAATGCATATGAACACAGTAGTTACTAATTTACGTTGAGTCCCAAGGTTCGCTGCAACGTAATTCTAAGATGCATAGATTAATTTGTCTTTTTATTTGGTATGTACAGTATAATTACTTAAAAACTCTTTAAATTAATAATTATTAATTTATCGATAAATTAATAACTCTCTAAATTAATAAATTTCTCCGGTTCTGACATTATTAATTTATAGAATTTTAAGTGTAATTATTAGTATTAGAATATTATGCTTCAAAGGAGGAACACCAAACCTGAAATTCAAATATGCTCTTTAATTTTCTTCCATATAATGCAATTGGAAATGACCTTTTTGGGTTTTTGGCAAAGCAAAAAATATTCACCAATTTTATAATACAATTATTATAGAATAAATGAATAAACATTTTATTTTTTCGAAGGGTCATTCAAACCGTATTCTTTCTATTACAATACTTATTAAAAAATTGAATCAGAAAATTCAATAAAAAAGTTAAATATATAATATATAATTTTACTTTAATTTATTTTGTAAATTATTTATATTAGAATTTTAAATTGAGTATGATTTTATTTGTCTAACGCGAACCCAATCAATAAAATGATTATTTTTATTAAAAATTAAAATTATTATTTTTTAATATTCATTTTTAATAAGATCATATAACTTTCTCTATTTTATATATTTTTAAAAGGAGTTGAAAATTGTAACCCCTCAGACCGATGCGGGTAACCCGATCCGATCTGGAGTGTCACATTAGGGCCACCGGAGCGACCCACTGTAAAAATAGCGGAAAATTTAAAACTTTTATTAAAACATGTAAATTATAAAATATTTATCAGTATGCATAAATAAAACAGATTTTCAAACTCGTATATAAAACAAAATACAATTGCATGCCCCTTAATCACATGTACCATACTCTGCAAACAACGCCGGAAGAACTCCCTTATTGATGTCAATAGTTGTACTGGTACAATTCTTTTAACCTGCAATGGTAAGTAATAAAGTGAGCTTTGGAAAGCTCAGTAATACATAACTACCAGATGATGCTATAGGACATGCAGATAAATGGATAGCCATAATTTCCTTATTTAATCAAACGTATACAAATTTTCGGGATAATCTGAGGTTCCACTGGTAGTTCATCAAATAGAAGCCATGAATATCTCAGTTCATAGGAAACATTCAAAGTAACGCGTTTTCAGGAGATCGAATAGGATGTCTAGTGTGTTCCAATCAAAACCAGTGAAAAGATATAAATCTTTTAAAACCATAGCGGGACCCTCCAACCAAACTCCATTATGCAGTTCCCCAGAACTGCGTCTGTAAGGCTTACTCTAAGCACACAACAAAGGGAGCCAACCTAAGATAATCCTTGGGGCATATGAGCCTACCTAAGGGTATCATTAGGTCCGTAAGGTCTTACCAGCTGGATCAGGGTTGTGCCTCCATGCTCCAGAATCTTATCCATATAAAAATCCAGTAGCAATCAGTTTTAGCCATAAATCGTAATACATGGACCGTTATCCAGTAATATGTCATAATCATAATAATGAAATAAACTGTATATCTGATTTACACCTGTACACCATAAATAGTTTCATGGTTGACCCAATGGAGTGCCTTGGGGCGTGAGAGCCTACCCAAGGGTCACCTTAAGTCCGTATGAAATTACCAGCTTGATCAGAGCTGTACTTCCAGTCTACCCATATAATATCCCACTAAAACAATTTGAGTATAACTAATGAAACATAAAACCATGGTTCATAAACCAACAGTTTCCATGATTCCATAAATTAGGAAAAATTCATATTTTTCGGTGAAAACCATAATCGGAAATCACATACCACGTTGCCATGGTTCATAAAATAGTAAATCAATACTTTAGTGAAAGCTCATTTTAAAACATATAAAATCGTCATGTAGTACATATGGAACACACTAGAGGATCCAAGTATTTTTTCAGAGGCATTTTGTAGTTATCAGTATGGATAACAGGAAACTTCTGCAATTTGATCGGATTCCAGGAACGAGGTCCTATTGAAGGGATTCAATCACTAACCGGTCTAATCATACATTTAAAGTTGATACCTTAGAATCACACTATGATTTCATGTGCATTAGGAATAACCGAAGTGATTTGAGTTGATAAAGAAGAAACAAATATTCAGGGAAATTACCATCCATGTCAATCGATCGGATTATCAAACAACTTGAGCTGAACAACTCTCAGAACTGATGCCTGTTGACTGGTCAATTCATTGCCCTTCTTGGTATTCACTCTATAATACCAACAATTCTTGTCCATAGATCATCTTCAGAATCATCGCTGAATATACCTTAAGAAATCAAACATGTATCCCTATAATCTTTACTTCCTTTCCACATTACAACAATATCAATGATTGATGACGTATTGATTCTTGGTTCATAACCCATAGGGACCGTACATCATACAAGTTCGTTGGTATTCCCGGACTCATCCAATCATTTACTAAATTCTCCATCATTAAGGTTACTTAATTCGTTTAGTAGTCAAGCCTATTCCTATTACTCTAGAGTTTTCCAGAGTAATTAGGACGTTTCTGAATTTCAGATACATGTTATACTTCTGTTCAGTTCAATTTGGTATTCGTGGCTGATTTGTCTAACGAATATCCATTTCTTAGTACCAAATGCAGTCTTGAGTTGAGTTGAGCTGCGTACTTCCAGAATTATCATCAATCCAAACTTGAGGAGATGAACAACGATTCAAGTGATATATATGCCATTTAGGTACAAATATATCATTAGTATTGATCGACTCACTTAAATCGTGTTCTATAACTTTTAAGGGTAGTACAACACCTATGTTTATTTGAATTCCTTAACTAACCCAAGACATTTACTTAGTCTAGGCCATAAGGGTATTTTGGTCATTTTGGTGCTCAATGTTTTTCCATTCATTCCAAAGTTTGAGGATATTCATTCATTCATGGGATTAGTGATATTCTTGAGTCATTTCCATTACATGGTATTTTGGTCATTTTACAGATCTAGGGTATTTCAATCATTTCCTTCCGTCATGTCTTATTATTTAATTCAAACTTATCATTTACTTCAGTCATTTCAAACAATTTTGACAAAAGTTTTTCATCGATAAATTATTCTTCAGGTATTTAATCATAATTCGGAGATTTACGGATTATCAGGA